AAAAACGCAGGCGTGGGCGTACGTCCGCGCGTCAGTGGGCGCAAAAAAATATTAAAATGCTCAAAATAGTCTCAAAATAATTTTACATACGTTTTAGGCCATTTTAAGCATTTAAAAAAAAATCTCACACACGCGCATGCGCACGTGTTTTCGCGCGTTCTGGCATTTTGCAAAAAAGAATCGCCAATTTTTCTTTGTTATCATATTTGGCACATTTTCCCAAGCATTTTTCTACCTTTTTAACATATTTCTGACCATTAATAACGGAGTGAGCGTCCGTTTAAGATACACGTCCGTGCGTGCGAGCTCTTGTAATACATAGCATATATGGGCAAAAAAATGCCTAGACAAAATCCATTGTAGCTCTTTAGGATGTAAGGTGACCCCAAATTTTGTTTCATATTTTGTAGAGTATGAATTAGAAATATGATTTCTTGTCTCAATTGACCCTCAATTAACTCATGACGTCATCATAATGGCCTCCGAACTCAAAATTCCAATTTGCATATTATGACATCAGCATATTTTTGGAAAATTGATTGTATCTCTGTAAATATTGATCGATTTTCTTCCAAATTTTGATATGTTTTAGCTGAGATAATTCACTACAAATGCATTTCACATGATTTTTCATTTCGACAAAGGAATCATGACGTATTTTTGCGATTAAAGGAGGCATGTCAATTTTTCTCTTTTTGCGTGTATTCTCTATGGGACATGACTTTTTCTCAAAACTGGATTCTACATTCCCGTCTTTCGCGAGCAATATCTCCGTCGTTTTAGCTTCGCTTACGCTGAACTTTGAGTATGTTGTAGCTGAGACAATTAGCTATCTCAAATGTGCCTTAATTTTGTCTCAAACTTGAGTTAGACCAGCCCACCTATACTATACTATACTATATTTTGATAGAGTATGAATCGGAGATATGATTTCATGTCTCATTTGACCCTCAATTAACTCATGACGTCTTCATAATGGCCTCCAAACTCAAAATTTCAATTTGCATATTATGACGTCAGCATATTTACGGAAAATTGATTGTTTCTCTGTAAATATTGATCAATTGTCTTCCAAATTTGTATATGTTTTAGCTGAGACAATTCTCTACAAATGAAGTTGGCACAAATTTTCATTTTGACAAAGGCATCAGGGCGTATTTTCACGATTAAAAGAGGCATGTAAATTTTTCACATTTTGCGTGTATTCTCTATGGGACATGAGTTTTTCTCAAAACTGGATTCTACATCCCCGTCTTTCGCGAGCAATATCTCTGTCGTTTTAGCTTCGTTTACGCTGAACTTCAAGTATGTTGTAGCTGAGACAATGAGCTATCTCAAATGTGTCCTTTATGTTGTCTCAAATTTTTGTTCAACCAGCCCACCTATACTTGTTCCAAACAAGTATTACAAATCTAGTTTATTTATTTATTTATTTATTTATTTTTCTTACATCTAACCACTTTTTTGTAAGCACGATGACTTGAAAATGGCTCAATCAAATGCCTTCAAATTTGGCATACATATGTATAGGCATATGTACAAAGCACAATGTTTTCAACATTGACCTTGACTGATGACTTCATCTAGGCGCCATTTTGTAAAATTTTCTGAAAATCAACTCATGATCATATCTTCATAACCAAAAGTTTTTTCTCATTCATATTTATCATGATTAAGGTCAATATCCGTCCGGTCAATTTAAGATAAAAAAAATGCTCGCGTACGCGTACGTCCGCGCGTCGGTGCGCGCGCAAAATTTCAAAATGCTAAAAAAAAACTCAAAATCATTTAGTATACGTTTTAGGCCATTTAAAGCATTTTATAAAAAATCTCGCACACGCGCATGCGCGCGCGTTCTCTCTCGTTCTGACATTTTGCAAAATAGAATCGCCAAATTTTCTTCGTCATCATATTTAGCACATTTTTTCAAGCATTTCGATACCTTGTTCATCTTTTTCTGACCATAAATAACGGGGTGAGTGTCCGTTTAAGATACATGTCCGTGCGTGCGAGCTCTTGTAATACATAGCATATATGGGAAAAAATCATGCCCATACAAAATCCATTGTAGCTCTTTAGAAAGTAAGGTGACCCCTATTTTTTTCATATGTTGATAGAGTATGAATCGGAGATATGATTCCATGTCTCATTTGACCCTCAATTAACTCACGACGTCATCATAATGGCCTCCGAACTCATAATTTCAATTTGCATAATATTATGACGTCAGCATATTTTTTGAAAATTGATTGTATCTCTGTAAATATTGATCGATTTTCTTCCAAATTTTGATATGTTCTAGCTGGGACAATCTTCTACGATTGCAGCTTTCACAAATTTTCATTTTGACAAAGGCATCAGGGCGTATTTTCACGATTAAAAGAGGCATGTAAATTTTTCACATTTTGCGTGTATTCTCTATGGGACATGAGTTTTTCTCAAAACTGGATTCTACATCCCCGTCTTTCGCGAGCAATATCTCTGTCGTTTTAGCTTCGTTTACGCTGAACTTCAAGTATGTTGTAGCTGAAACAATAAGCTATATCAAATTTGCCCTTTATTTTGTCTCAAATTTTAGTTAGACCAGCCCACCTATACTTGTTCAAAACAAGTATTACAAATCTAGTTATTATTATTATCATCAACATTCATTCATTTCATTTCATCTTCAATATTTCATGAAATGCATTCAGAAAATGAAGAACAAAAAGAAACGAAAATAACCCGTGAAAAAAAAATATTGTCGGCGAAGCATTTGTCGTAGTACTAGTAACATTTGTATTTTATGGGACACTTTTTGGGCGGAGCAATTGTCGGCAGAGCAAATGTCACCGGAGCAAGTGTCGCTTCAGGCGGAGCAAATGTCGGCGGAGCAACTGTTGGCGGAGCAATTGTCGGCGGAGCAATGTCACCGGCGCAATTATCGCGTTTTGCGGAGTAATTGTCGGCGGAGCAATTGTCGGCGTAGCAAATTTCGGCGGAGCAATTGTCGGCGGAGCAAATGTCGGCGGAGCAACTGTCGTTCGAGGAGCATTTGTCACCGGAGCAATTGTCGCGTTTTGCGGAGCAATTGTCGGCGGAGCAATTGTCGGCGGAGCAAATGTCGGCGGAGCAATTGTCGGCGGAGCAATTGTCAGCGGAGCAAATGTCGGCAGAGCAAATGTCGGCAGAGCATATGTCGGCGGAGCAAATGTCGGCGGAGCAATTGTCGGCGGAGCAAATGTCGCGGAGCAAATGTCGCGGAGCAATTGTCGCGTTTTGCGGAGTAAATGTCGGCGGAGCAATCGTCGGCAGAGCATGTGTCGGGTTACCTAAAAATGATGAAAAGGATAGAGCATTGGTGTAAAGGAAGAAAGTATTAGTAATAGTAATAGTAAAATGAATAGTAGTAGTAGTTGTCGCAGTAATAGTATTGGTAGTATAGTAGCAGAATTAATAGTAGTAGTAGTACTAGTAGTAATATAGTAATAGTAGTAGTAGTTGTTTTATAGTATTATTGGTAATAGTAACATTAGTAGAAGTAGTAGTAGTAGTCATGGGTGTCGATCCGTAACTGATACCTATTCATCAGGGGGGGATGATCTATTCATTCATCCCCCCCTGATGAATAGGTATTACGTAAGTATCGACACCCATGGTAGTAGTAGTAGTAGTTGTTGTATAGTACTACTATTAATAATAATATTAGTAGTAGTAGTAGTTGTAGTAGTAGCAGCAGCAGCAGCAGCAGTAGAAATAGTAGTAGTAGTAGTAGTATGGTTGTAGCAGTAGTAGTAGTAGTAGTATGGTTGTAGCAGTAGTAGTAGTAGTAGTAGTAGTAGTAGTAGTATGGTAGCATGGTAGCAGTAATAGTAGTAGTAGTAGTAGTAGTAGTAGTAATACAATAATAGTAATATTAGTAATAGTAGTTGTTGTATTGTATTACTAGTAATAGTAATATTAGAAGTAGTAGTAGTAGTAGTAGTAATAGTAGTAGTAGTCAGTGGGAAAAAAATGTGTATATTTATATTTGTTAACGTAAATTTTATCTTTTTTTTGAGATGGGGGGGGGGGGTTGCAATTTTTCAAATTTTTGGGAGCAAAAAATAAATAAATAAATAAAAATGCTCACTACCCCCAGCCCCCCCCCCCCCCCCCCCCCCCCCAACTGAGCAACATATGAGCCGGCATGATTTTCATATTTCAGCACACTCAATTTCAAATTGATTTCAAATTTGGGCTCCACTCCTAAGACATCCTGGATAGTAGTAGTAGTAGAAGTAGTAGTAGTAGTAGTAGTAGTAGTAGAATTAGTAGTAGTAGTAGTAGTAGTAATAGTAGTAGTATAGTAGTAGTAATATGGTAGTAGCAGCAGTAGTAGCAGTAGCAGTAGTAGCAGCAGTAGTAGTATTAGTAGTATAGTAGTAGAATCAGTAAAAGTAATATTAGTAGTAGTAGTAGTAGTATGGTAGTAGCAACAGCAGCAGCAGTAGTAGTAGTAGTAGTAGTAGTAGTATGGTAGTAGTAGCAGTAGTAGCAGTAGCAGCAGCAGTAGTAGTAGTAGCAGCAGTATTAGTATTAGTAGTATAGTAGTAGAATCAGTAAAAGTAATAGTAGTATTAGTAGTATAGTAGTAGAATCAGTAAAAGCAGTAGTAGTAGTAGTAGTAGTAGTAGTAGTAGTAGTAGTAGTAGTAGTAAAAGTAGTAGTAGTAGTATAGTAGTAGCATCAGTAGTAGTATGAGCAGGAGGAGGAGGAGCAGATGCATCATTATTATTAGTAGTAACAGATGCAGAAGTGATAGTAGTATTGTTGTTTGAATACCAGTAACACAGGGCCTTTCTGTTACAATATCCATCACGTTTGATTATCATGATGTCTATGTTAGACTTCAAAATTCAAACGTATCCCGAAAGGCTTGATCTGAGGAACATGTAATTCTCTTTACCTGCTCGACCTCTAAAGTTTGAAAAGCTTAGAGTAAACGGAAGCACTATATCAAATGAAATGAAAGTCGTTACCTGTCTGACTTCCGGCAGCAGCTGCAGCCTTGGTTCCAGACGTTAGTCCTAATTGAAATAAAACAACATATTATTTTCCTTTATCACAATGACTAATGAGATGGCTCATTTGCGCAATGGCTCAATGATAGAGCAGTGGAGAGGACTTAAAATCTTCTGCCTCCTGTTTGCTTACTTACAAGCATAAACATGCTTTGTTACCAGTCAGGTGAAGCTATCCTCTCTGCAAAATAATGAAGATAGTATTTGAGTGACTTGGTATTTGTTGAAGGTTGAAGAAAAAATTGCTTAATTTGTGTAAATAATGTGAATACTATATTCCTTCTACTGTACTAACTCTCTGACATGCAAAAAATACTGAAAAAATTCTCAAACCACGAAGATATCTATGGTTTTCTTTGAAAAGGTCGATGTATGACACCCTCTAACAGTGATCAACAGTAAATTCTCCCAACCATTTTTGAATTTTCCCAACCGTTTTTCCATGAAAAAAATATATAATCCGTCAACACGTCAATGTCTGGAATGGAATGTACAGCCATTTTATTGCTTTATGACGATTTCCATTCAAACACCTAAAATGTAATTAACGTGTAATAATATAGTTGGGAGAATAAAGGAATCGATCAGATCAGTTTTCCCATATATGTACCATGAATAATGGTCCGTTTTCGCTCAATTTTTAGACTATCTTTAATTGTACATCTAGCATTGAACTCACTACCTTAGCACCACTATCTCTCATCTGAACAATGTTGCCAAATCCCTTTAATAGACCAGTGGGCCTCTTGGCTGGCCAGTGGAAGGCGTACGTAGGAGGCAGCTGATTCTACTGACACCAGAAGGGATTTCTGAAATACCGCTAAAAGTGCTCCACTGTTAAGGTTAAACTTTCTTTTTGTATATGATTGTAGTGGTTTTTTTTCAATCCGTCTTATGATTGAAGTAGTCTAAAATGCTTGATTTCTTCATCTTGTTTACCCCTTTTCTCATGACTCTCTTTCCCTGTCTCTCTCTGTGTCTCTCTCCCTGTCTCTCTCCTTCTTGAAGGATGTGCCTATAGCAGGCAGCATCACTTTTGGTTGAGTTCTCGATCAGTGCATGATATTATTGGACTTAGCGGACTAATTGGTGAATTATTTATATCAATCGTCTTGTGAACACACATAGCATCTTTTGGACATTTTTGAGACAAGTTTGGTATGTGTTTCAATGAAAACGATATCTTGTTCATATGACTTATTAATTTCATGTAGTATCCATTGCACTACACCAGTACACTGCACCGTATTCTCATAACATACAGGTTACGTTTCTGTGGTCTAGTAACAGTTTACAAGGGATACATTCGCCCAATATTGAATCATCGAGTAAAATCAAATCTTAAGTTTGGAACGAATTCAGAAAAGGACATGCAGGACCATGTCAGGTGATCAATATATACGAACTATCACAAAGCTCTTTAATTGTGTTCCTTGCAGACGCTATCAGATAGACGCAAACAATAGGCCATTTTCGTAATGTAACCAAATTTAATGCGTAAGTCTTTGTGAAGTGCCTCCATACAAATTATTTCATTCACCTGATAAGAATAATATTATTTCAATAGACAGAATCCGAACTAATTACATAAGTTGTTCCCAGGTTGGACAAACATGATGACTTGACCTACCTAGCAACACTTAATACATGCAGTTGCATTCTGTCTATTGAAAAACTATTATTCCTAACAGGTGAATGAAATAATTTGTATTGAGGCACTTCACAAACACTTATGCATTAAATGTGGTTACATCACAAAAATGGCCTATTGTGTACTAACGTTGCCTCATCTCTTGCCAACAGCCCAATTTGTAAACATGGGTTACCTGTTAACAATGATGTAGATCATTCACTGTGGAGAAGGTTTAATTCGTCAATTTCGTTGTAAAACAAAACGCTATAGAAATAGCTCAATTTCGTACTTAATAGACCTGTTGAATGCATGAAAGAATCACAATTTACACTGTTGCATTTATCTGTCGTATTTACCAGTTGAATGGCAAGGAATCTCATTATCTGCTTTACGTTTTACATTTTACATTTTACATTTTACATTTTATAATGGCTACCTGCTAGTAATATATATAATGTGCATCGTATTACCACCTCTTGTTTTACAAATGATTGTGCGTTTATGCTTCCCAATAACCCTTTTTTGAGAAACGCTGATCCCAAACGCACCTTTTTTGTGAGTTCACGATCGGCGTTCATCGGTGTTCATACGAAAATACGTTCATACGAAAAGGACATCAATTTATAATTATGTACTTACCGTTGATGAAAAGGCAACATAGAGCAACATTTTGCTGACTTTTAATTTTCAATGAATATGAATATGAATTGTTAAAGACACAGGTGCAATAATTACAGAATTAGCTTTTTACTTACTTGTATGTTATGTATTGTATTGCTTTTGATCAATTATTGTTATTACTATTGTGAAGTTTAATAGATTTTAAAAATGTAAATAATATATAGTGGTTGATTTTAAATGCTACACATGAATACTGTTTAATGTTACCAATACTGTTTGAATGAATGATTGTAACACATAAACTATAATGTTATGTAATGCAGCTCATGTATACATGTAAACATGCACAATTAAGCATTTTGGCTGCGAGGCATTGTTTTTTAATAAAACCATTATTGAATTGAATTGAATGAATTAAATTGAGGACGAACCGTGTTGTGAACTAAACGCGTAACAAAAGCCTCATTCTGGCCTCAAACAAGTTGAGCATAGGGACTGCTTGCTCATCCTTTGACCCACTCTAGCTTATGTCACTTCACAATATAACTTAATATCCTTCACCCCCTTTTCTCTGTATTCTACCTTTTGTCTGTTACTGCCTTAGTCATGTTGGTCATGGATTTTGTTATAGATATCATACTTTGTGCAAACAGCATCATGTTCATATCAAGTTGATCCGTTTGTCAAACCATATATCAGCTTCTTGGCTCCAAAGTGCAATCTTAACAAAACTTTTCAATCAATCTCTCTCTCTCTCTCTCCTGGCATTATCCTTCTCTTTCTCTCTCTCTTTTAATCTCTCTCTGTATCTCTCTTTCAATCTCTTTCTCTTTCTCTCGCTCTCTATCTATTTTCAATCTCTCTCTCTCTCGGTTTCTCCCTCTATCTCTTTTTTATTCTTTCTCTCTTTCTCCCTCTCGCTCTTTCAATCTCTCTCTCTTTCTATCCATATCTCTCTCTCTCTCTCTCCCTCTGTTTCAATCTCTATCTCTCTCTTTTCTCGCTCTCTCTTTCTTTCTTTCTCTCTCTCTCTTTCAGTCTCTCTCTCTCTGTTTATCTCTCTTTCTCCCGGCTCTCTTTCTCATAGTTGATATAGAACTCTTACCTGCCACCATGATGATTGTTGCCCATAGCATGATGATAGAGATCCGCTTCACCAGACGGTTCAGTCTGTCCATGGTCAATGAGTTCCTCAATCACAAATGACATACAAACCTCATCCAGATAAGACTCCTAAACTATTAGCCTCAGTTTCGAGCTCCGTTACTTATCGCTCTCATGTGCTATTATGCAAGCTTATATAACCATTACAAATCCTGCCAACATTATTGTAAGGTCAAATAAAGAGATTCTCTATTGGCACTGAATTAATCCGAAAGATATGATTAATTCAACTAGAGTTGTCTACGTTTTTGCAGTGGTGGTGGTGGGGGTGGTATTTGCCATATTTCATTATTCATTGTCGAGTCACGATTGGTCAATTCTTCGTAAAAGACAAAGTACATTGTATACGTGCTTTTAAAGGGGGAGTGGCCAAATTTCCGGGAGAGGAGCTTACGTATTCTCTTTCCAATATACGTTACATTAAAGGTACTATGTCCCATTTGCGGGCCAAACAAAATGAAAAGGTTAATGCCAACAGCGTTTGAAAGATAATACCAATTTAGAACTTCCCTAAAAAAAAAGGGGGGGGGGGAGGGGGGCTTGAAAATGTCTTTAAGTGGAAAAAACGCCTATTAGTTGTCGAATAGACTTAAGAGCTATAGGGCCAGTAAGTAATAGTCTGATTCACAGACCATTGTACCGAATGGTCGTACGTTTTATGCTGCGCAAAGATTTAATCAGTTTAATTTGGCCATTATAAGAAGTAGGTTATTGATGTAGACAAATGCTCATGTACCCTTTACAGCTCATTTTATGTATGTTATTACAAAGAAGAAAAAAGTGAGTCAGTCACTCAATAGTGTCAGCCAGTGAAGTCTAGCAAGTAAGCCGGTTTCCTTGCCTAATTTGAATATAAGGACACTGCTAAGGTTTAAATTTCACAGATAGGACATACATGACATATTCATAATTCCTGCAAAGTTCCACAGAATTTGATGTTGGCTGCGAAAAGGGACATACTATCGTTAACGTTTTACTAAGTACTTCGAGAAAGGCTATTATTTTCGAGGTTTGATATTTTTTGTTATCCTATATTTTGATCACATCTTTAAACGTCAAACAACGAGGTTTATATGCATTATGACCGGTATAAGCGTTACGAACTCAGCGAAAGAGAAAATAATTTTACTCACAAGACGAATCAATAACAAGAGTTTGGGAACCTCGAAATAAATGTCTACTATTTTTACTGTCGTTAAGTAATTTCCCAAAACCAATTAAAATGTTTAAGTACCCTCATATATATACCCTGACAAGGTGCCCATTTTGAGATGCACTTAAAAGCCAAGTGTATATCTTTATCATCCTTTTCAATAAAACTACCAAGTATAGTCCATTGTTCTGGCGGGTCCATTTATATGCCTTTGTTTTGGTGGTCCTCATTCGTGTCTTTGTCCCTTTGACACAAAATAATCTACCATTATAGTACTTGTATCCTTCTGTATATAAATTACATGTTCTGGCTTTCTGCATGGAAAAGAGGATTTTTGATGACCATTAGATCAAGACCCTCACATCATCTTGTGTTTTACATATGTGGAAGTTCATAATGATGTGACTGATTTGATTCTCAAACGTTTGGTAATAATAAATACTCTCATATGACTCCGGAATTACCAATCTCTTCTTGCTGCTTCATTTGATGCACCTCTCCTATCATACACCAATCCCAACATAAAACTACCTCTACCCCGGTAGAAATAATATCCGGAGGTTCCAGCTCAGTTTGTGAACGGAAAGATGGCTTAATACACCCTTGACCCTATGCTTTGATTACATCCTCTAATATCCGATTGGAATCCAGGGATATCGTGTTAGATGCACTTAGAGCAAGGTCATTATGCAGTGTTATATGGAGAACAAGAAAATAATAAAAGACCAAAAAAAGATATTCGTGGCTGTGACTGACAACGATCACTGACCATCTAAAACACTGCGCATTGATGAAAAAGATACCCACATTAGACAACTATTATAGTTATGGATACACTCGAAAAGAACTCCCTCTTCCATTTTGCTGAAGGTCGTCAGATAAATTGAATCGGGGTAGTTAGGGGCGGGGAGCAGAACTAACGAGCCCTACTTAGTTGATGTATTTCCCTGTTTCACCGTTCTTTTATTTCTTTATTTCTTGTATTTACTTTTTTTGACTCTTTTCAGATTCATGATGTTCATCGTTTAATCTTCCGTTCCTATTTCTTTTCATGTATGACTTTATTTCAGTATTATGGTTTGTCTGTCTCGTATATCTGATAAAATCTACTGGTATCATAGGCTATCGGTACACTGATATACCCCTCCCCCCGACCGATACATCAAAAAAATAATTATGGCTATATACGACTGAGACATGTTGTTCCTCTTGATCAAGCCTTTGTCGTGAGGTGGCGCTATAGAACTGAAAGACTAGGAGTTTATGTATACTATAAAGTGACTCGAAACTGACTCTATGAAATTAACCGGTTTACAAAACATTTGATATTCAAATTGTGTGCATATTTTTTAAACAAAGGTTGTTCTTGACAACATAGAAAGCTTGCTCGAGGCATGCCTGACATAACAACATGTAACGTATGCAAACAAGATTCGAAGCATTGTGGTTCATTCTCATTTCATTAGGAAAACCTTACAAAGCTTAGGACTGATTTATTCTGGGAAATCAAATCTAAACTGAAAAACGACATAAAGCATGTTTTGAATCACGATGGTCGCATCAAAGTTGTAACTAGTGATGAGCGACGTGAAACTCTAACAAACAGAGATCACCTAAAGCGGATTAATTTTCTTAGTACATCTCTTGAATGTGTACTACAATTACTGTACTCAATTAATTGCCAACTTTTACGAGTAAAACTGCTATTGTTTATGGTTTTTATGCCTCCGCCCATTACAAACAAGTTCCTAAGCAGTTTTAATTGGCCAAATCTTTTGTCCACGTTATTATCTTTTCTTTTGTTGTGTGCATACAGAACCGGATCATTGACCCTTGTCAGACACAGGGATCGAACGCTACAGGGCGTCACAATGCACGTACTGGTCGTTTAACTCTAGTCAGTTTTATCATTGGATAGTGACTGAATGATCTTTTATATTCGGCGTAGGCTTTAAGTGGTTTACTTAATAGTCTTTCGTATTCTTTTGTAATGAAAAGTGTTCTTTTATTCATCTTTTAAGCAAATGACCCCTTTCATAGTTAAGAAATATAATTGTGGTTTATGTTCTAAATGTGTTAAGAGCAATGCAAAGGGTCTATTATGCACTTGTTGCGAACGGTGGATTCGTGTTATCAGTGCTCGTGTCCCAGTAGAGATGTTAATAATCTTTCTGAACATTTTTTGGATTGTCCGAGGTGCCTTGTGAAAGAATTGCCATTTTATGAGCATGATGCAAATGGTTTGTATGCAGATGCACCCTCTACAGTTTGTCAAACAGTTGCATGTAAATATGGTAATGAGGGATAATTCGATGCTTTATGCTAAAAGGGACTAAGATGTGTGCAATTGAATATTTTGAGTCTGTTAAACATTTTTGACGACTTGAAGTCTATTTGAATCCAGAATGATATACATGTTTGTGCTTTAAAAGAAACGAGGCTCGATGCTGAAAGTCATGATGCTGAAGTTTCGATATCTGGTTATTCGCTTAATATGCGGAAAGATCGTAATCGAAATGGTGAGGTTGTGGCCGTTTACATAAACAATAATATTGAATATGAACAATATACAGTTCTAGAAGATCATTCTCTGCTTGAATAAGAAGCAATCCTTATTATATAAATATAAAGAACTCTCAACCCAGAGGCGGCGCTCCCAGGGGGAGGGGGGGGGCAGGGGGCACAGTGCCCTCTCACTTTTTACAGTACCCCAAAAGTGTCCCTTTAACTGTGTAAGACGTGCCCCTTTTTACTTAGGAAAAGTGCCCCTTTTACTTTGACAAGTGCCCCTTTTATTTTGACACGTACCCGTTTTCCTTTGACAAGTTCCCATTTTCGTTTGCAATAAGTGTCCATTTTCCATTTTCATAAGTGCCCTTTTTAATCTCTAGTAAGTTCCCCTTTTTAGGTACTAGAAGCGCCCCTTTTCACTTTTGATAAGCGCACCCTTCACCTCTAAATATTGCCCTATTCAAATCTGAGAGGTTCCCCTTTTGCTTTGACGAGTTCCTCTTTTCCTTTGTAAAAAGTGCACCTTCCCCTTTTAATAACTACCTCTTTTCAACCTGGATAAGCGCACCTTATATTTTCACATGTGCCACCTTTCCTTTTCCTTTCCTTATGATAAGTGCCCCATTTAAAAAGAGCCCATCTCATAAATACCCCTTTATATCTATGAGAATAGTTCCTTTTTATTCTCATAAGTGCCCCTTTTCATCTTTTGTAAATGACCCTATTCAATTCTAATATATACTCGTTTTACTTTGACAAGTGCCTCTTCCCCTACTGATAAGTGCTCTTTTCATCTTTTATAAATGCTCCTATTAACATCTGATCGACGCCCCTTTTCTTTCAACAAATGCACATTTCCCTTTATCATAAGTGTCCCTTTTTCATTCTCATAAGTGCCTCTTTTTATGTATGGTCAGTGGCCCTTTTCAGATGCGATAAGTGCCCCTTTTCAGCTCCGATAATTACCCTTTTAACAATGATATGTGCCCCGTTTTCCTTTCTAATAAGGAACCTTTGCCTTTTTCATAAATGCCCCTTTCACTTCTTATAAATGCCCTTATAAAAATATGGTGGGTGCCTCTTTTCCGTCGACAAATGCCCATTCCTTTTCATCCCTGGTGCATGCCTCTTTTTTTAGATGTAAGAAGTGCCCCATTTTCACCTCTAATAATTAGCTTTTATATTTTGACACGTGCTCCTTTTCTTTGCTAATAAGTGTTATAACCCTTTCGATAAGTGCCCCTAATTTCAAGCAAATAAGAGCAATTTCCCCCAAAGCTCGCTCGCTTCGCTCGCTCGTAGTTATATATGTTATAATTATGTAACTTAAAAAAGGTCTTTTCAGTCTTCCGTTATGAGAATGTGCTTATAACCCCATCAAGATTGGATTTTTCCTCCTCAGAAGATTTAATTTTTTCGCACTGCGACAGGCTCATAAATCATAAACATTTTCCTTGCTAGCTTTGCTCGCTCGCAAATGAATTTTTGAGACCATCACACCCAATCGCAAAGTATGATGCTTAAGCAATATCGTATAAGATATATAAACAGAAACAAATATTGAAATCACCTCCGATAATGTAATCACAATATATAGGGGTATAGACCAATGTCTAAAATTTTTTATATTTTCACTTTGAGATATCCCTTTGAAGGTGCTTTTTTTTCTCCAGAAAGTGCCCTTTTTTGTTGGTGCCCCCCACTTTGAAAGTCGCTCCGCCGCCTCTGTCTCAACCCACCCTTTAAACAAAATTTGGTATAGACCACCGATTTCAAGGCTTGAATCATTAATTGCTTATGACATTTTTTGAATATTTATGAATAATTTTAATTCAAATTCAATTATAGTAGGGGATTTAAATACATAGCCCCTTAAGACGCGAAAAAACTACTATGATCAGCTAAATACTATTCAAGGGTTGTATAATACCACAAAGTGCACTAGAATTATTAGTGATACAGCTACACTTATATATCACATGTTGACGAATGATCAAGACAACATAAAGGTGTCTGGTGTTATTGATGTTTGTATGGGCGATCATTATATGAATTACCTAATATGGAAATCACCCCATTTACTCACTCATGCTCATAATCCTGCAAATTTCAGGAGGTCTAAGGGTGTTGATTGGGTTGCTTTTCGAAATGTAAAAAAAAAATAAAAAAAATTGGAGCAACATTGACAAAATTGTTGATATTGATGATTCCGCTAAGAATTGGGAAGCTATGATATTATCTATGATGAACGAGCATATGCCTTTGAGAACTAAACGGATGGGGAAGCAATGCTCTCCTTGGTTAAATGAGTAAACTTATAATTTAATTAAAGAAATACATTAAAGAGATACAGTTAAAAAGAGAGCTAATGTTATTAAGCAAAGTAATGAGCTATGGACTGAGTATAGACCTTTAAGAATTAGGGTTAGAAACGCTATCAAAAAAGCAAAAATGCAACACTATACGAATAAACTATTTTAATGTCCAAATCGGAATGATACGTGGAAAGTTCTGAACATATCTGTTTAATAAAGCATCTCGATTCAACGATCATATTTTTCTGATGTTGTAACAGAGTTGTTAAAAAAACATCAAGAAAGTAATTTTTGGGAAAATGAATTTAATTCAACTATTAGTGATGCACCTCGTCCCAACAAGTTGAAATTATCCGTCGTTTCTGAAGCTGATGTAATGAGAGAGATTATGTAAAAGTTAAGAAACAAGAAATCATGCGGAGATGAAAGTGGCATGTATCTTTGCCAAAGTTGACCACCTGCTACAATATGGACTTTTAGATTGAGTGGACGAGAACACGACGAACGCCGACTGATCATGCGTGTCAACGTACTCAACTGCCATGTTGACTACAATTAGAAAATTTTCAGATCGACGATATACATGCATGCAGGAAGAGACGAACACAGAAAGAGGACAAAATATACAGTTCCTCATTCTATCCTCAACAATAGACCACTTTCGTAATGTAACCAAATTTAATGCATAAGTCTTTGTAAAGTGCCTCAATACAAATTATTTTATTCACCTAATACGAATAATAGTATTTCAATAGACAGAATCCGAACTGTATACACTAGTTGTTGCCAGGTTGGACAAACGTTATGGCTTGACCTACCTAGCGACACTTAATATATACAGTTGCATTATGACTATTGAAATACTATTATTCTTATCAGGTGAATGAAATAATTTGTATTGAGGCACTATGGGAACTACTGCAGATAGTAGATGGGAACCTGGAGTACTTGATGAGACTGGTGTTGTAGCATTGACGGTAGTTGGCTGAGTGGCAGTGGTTCCCTCGCTTTAAGACATTAAGACAATGATATCATGTTTTTTTCTTCGGTATAAAGCCTTTATTATGGTCTCGTATTTCATAAACATCTTATTATCAGTAGTCTAAAGTATATTGACATGTAACATGTTAATGCATTATAATGTCGGATTATCTCGCTTTTCATGTGATAGAAATCTAATAGGGCCTACAAGTGACGAATCAAGCTTGTACTGTATATACACGTACACTCAAGTCAGGAGTATATGTGTTGGGGGGGGGGGGGGGGGCAGTGCACGGTGAACCCCTCCCCGATTCATTTCACTATTACATTGATTAGAGGTAAAGAAGATGAACCCGTACAGTGCTTTCCTATAGAGCAATCACTCTCGTTCTTTATCGCACTTAATGCTTGCAATTTTCAGTTCGTTATCAGATCCAATATACCAACAATGTTAGCATTGGATCGATGAGGAGACGATTAGAAGCCAAAGAAGGGATCGGCTTGGTGGAAGAGACATTCCTCAGGGGAGTTAGGAGGTGAGAAATCGCTGCCAGGTCCCTCAAATCCATTTGCTCCAGCTTTCATACAGACAACCAACGTAGATGGCACACCACCAGTACATCTGTAAACAAAAAAGATTTATAATAAATAATGGTAGCAGGTGTCATTGCCTATCCAGACTTATTTTAATAGCCGATTGTGATGGACGCCATTTATTTAGATATTAGCCCTTTTATGGATCGACCTCTGTATAGGCCTACAAAGAGCAATGCACTGGTCTTTGACAGTTCGGCAGTGTCTCACGGGCACCAATGTCTGGTTACCATGGCAACTATTTATTATTATAAAAACGTTATAGAACTATGAAGTATAGGTTACACATTATCAAGGATAGCTACGATAACGCTCCAGCCTGGCGACAAAAAAAAACACAACAAAAATAGGTCACTGCACCATTGGCGCTATCAGTATTAAATATTTAATGTAATTTAGATGTTCTTGGAAGAAAGTCTCAAAAAGATGAAGTGAACCCGATGATAAATGTTGGAGGGAAATGAATAATGTCATTTAAGTCCAAGAAAATCACTGGATCATTATGTCACAACAAACTGTTCTTATTTATGTCTCTGACTCTGCCAAGTGACATCTTAAACTGCAAAATTTGCAACATTTTCGATGGTAACTGTTTGTACAATGCAAAAATTGTATCCTAGACAATGAATGGGAAAATAGAGACAAATGAGAATATAAAACTTACCTGCAATAGTCGTCTCGCCCATCATTATCCTCATCCTTCATGTACCATGTATTGGAATAACCTGGATCAAACCATTCTACGGAGGGGTTGGGGGAAGTATAGGCTAGTAAATCATCTTCTTCAGATCCAGCGAGAAGACATGAAAGGAATGACTTTCCATCGGTGCGCACGACCCTATACAAGAAGATTAAGTAAAAATAACTTTCTGCACACGACCCTAAATGATGATTAACTTTAAAGGGACTTAGAAGCATTGTTGAAGTGAGAAAAAATGATGCTTAGGTAGTGAATTCAATGCTAGATGTAATATTAAAGATAATCTGAAAGTTTGAGTGAAAACAGACTATTATTAATGATACAAATTGGGAAAAACTGATCTGATCGATTCCTTAAATATCTCAACTATATCTTATAATTATAAATAAATACATTTTTTTTTTATCAACCTTCAACAATGTTACTGGTTCACCTAAGTGCACAAGATCCTTCATGGATTTGTATGAATGAAATTGTTGCCCACTTTTACACGTACCTGTGTATCAATGAAGAAGATATCTGACAGAGGACTTATGTTTAGATCTGTGCCATTTTATGTAATGCTGATATGGAAGCTTAGAAAATCATGTAGATCTTTTATCAAATTCAAATCAAGAGAAAATTATTAATCATTATGTTTGAATTCAATTAAATCTAGATTTACAAAGCCCCAGTCTATTTCAAAAGCCCTGCAATCGGCTAATATAATTGAAAGGGGCGAGAAAAATGATGATCAATGACGGTGACTTACCTGCAGAAATCGTTGGGGGTGCCCTGGCCCTGTACATCGACCCACCCACGGAACATCTGCACCATTCCCCGGTCTGTGATGGAGTAGGAGCGGCGAAGAAGCTCACCCGTTGTACCATTCGTTACATTCTGCTGTATGGGAACTACTGCAGATGGTGTAGATGGGACCATGGAGTTACGTGATGAGACTGGTGTTGTAGCATTGACGGTAGTTGGCTGAGTGGCAGCGGTTCCCTCGCTTGGCTGCCCGGTGGTCGTAGCAGATGAAACACCTAGAAGACAATTATAGGAAAACATGTTGTTCGTTTTCGATAAGTTCTTGAACTTCATTGACCGATGACGCCCTTCTGCCCAATGCACACAAGACAGGCAGGCGACATTGTGAGGACCTAGGTCAGCATCAACAACTGCTTAGAATTTTGACGCGCTATAAAAGGTTACAGCGGACATAAAGTGAAGGCAACATGAATAGCGTAAACAATACTTTGAACTACTGGGGTATGTACTAAAACATGCCCCCAGTTTGAATACTGCACACGAATGCTCATTTCAAATCGGTCATAATCTAGGCCTAAACAAGTTGGATAAGGAAACATGCGCATGCGCAAGTTATTTAAAGTATTGCTAAGAGTTTTAGTTCGTTTTGCAGTCACGATATATACGATGTCACAATAACATGCTGTCTAAAGATACGCGCTAGTCACTCATACAAAAGTTGTTCGTCGAGAAATGACGCTTATGGATGTGCAAAACCAGACCTACATCCGCGACTAAACTAGTCTTTGAACCGCAATACGAGTGTGATATGATGTAAAAACAGATGCAAATTAACAGTACACTAAAAAATATTACTGAAGCTAGGGGCGACGGAGTGACTTCCAAAGAGAAGGGGGGGGCACCAAGAAAAAAGGGCACTTTCAGCAGGGAAAAATGGGAGATTTCAAAGCGAAAATATACAATTTTTGTAGACATTGGTATATAAATATAAATTGTGATTACATGATCAGGGATGATTTCAATATTTTTGTTTCTTTTCATACACGATACAGGATATTGCTTGATAGGCATCATACTTTGCAGTTGGATGTGATATTCTGAAAACTCTTTTAAGAGCGAGGAAAAAATGCAAAATTGTTGAGGTCGCCGAGCGAAAAAAAAAATCTTATGAAGAGGAAAAAACCCAATCCTCATGGGGTTATAAGCACTGAAAAAAACCTTTCATAAGTTTCACAATTCTAACATCTATAAATGCAAGCGAGTGTAGCGAGCGAGCTTTGGGGTAAATTGTTCTTAGTCGCTTGAAATTATGGGCGCGTTAAAAGATGGGAGGAAAAAGGGGACTCTTATCGAAAGGGATACTTATTACAAAAAACAAAGTACAAAGGGTAATCACCAGAGGTGAAAAATATGGCACTTCTTACAACTACCAAAAGAGGCACTCGCCAGGGATGACAAATGGAAACTTAATATGAGAATTGGTAATTGTTATTTGTCGACGGAAAAGGAGCACCCATCAGATTTTGATAGGGGCATTTATGCAAAAAGGGGATAGGTCCCTTATTAGAAAGGAAAAGGGGCATGTATCATTGTTAAAAGGAAAATTATCGCACCTGAAAAGGGGCACTGACCAGATATGAAAATGGGCACTTGAGAAGGGGAAGGGACACTTATATGAAGAAAGGAGATCGTTTATTAGAAAGTACCTGCAAAGGCGCATTACTAAAGATTAAAAAGGGCGCATATGAGAATGAAAAATGGACACTTATTGCAAAGGAAAATTGGAAACTTGTCGAAGGAAAAGCACACTTCCTATGTAGAAAAGGGAACTTTGGGGGTACTTAAAAAGTGTGGGTGGGGGACACTGTGCACCCCCCCCCCTGCACCCCGGGAGGACCGTCTCTGTATTTATCTGTACGTGTGCGTGTTTGTGTGCGTGTGTGTCCGTGCTTTTGTATAATTGTGTGTGTGGGCGGGGGTATATGTATTGCTGTGTATGTGTAGTTAGTGCATGGTGAATATTATTCAACCTGACCTGAATAGACTTTTGGCATTCTATCCAATCGCATCATGCTTTGTTTAAGCAGTCACGTATACCACGACAATCCATGTTAATGTTAGAATAGGTGACTAGCTATAATTTCATGGCAATTGGCATTGTATCCGATCTATAAAAGAGACTTTACTCACCCGGTCGGATCACAATCATCATGTAGATCGCTTTAGAATATATCGTCTATTTGGAGCATGGAAAACGTCATCATAATTATACATTTATACACTGGCCCTTCTTGCTCTGAAAAGACGATATCATCGTATCGTATCTGATCGATTACCTGATTCACAGTCAGCGTATAGATGAGCTTTGAATCCTGTGGTGATATCAGGGATGTAGTACGTTCGGCTGCTGAACCGAATGAGAACATAGTCTGAGGTGAAGGTTATTGGTTCCGGTATGACGTCACCATATAAGACAGCACGAACAGTGTCTAATGAAGCAGATGAACTGATCTCAAGCTATGTGAATGAATGAAGAGAATGTGACAAAAAAGGTTAAATAAATGGATTCCATTTGCGACAATAATTATAAATACATTCCATGAACATAAGGAGGCGCAATTTGCCTTCACCCTAAACAGTTCTAAACTTAACTACAAGGTCAGATAACAGGTCTTTAAAGTTTAATGAAGCAATGACGGTTTAAGACACAATAAGGGATAATGCCCCTATTTACAAAAGAAGCAATTATAGGCGCTAAATAAATACCAATATGTGTGTATGTATGTATAGGTAACCAATGCCCATCCAGACATAAAATGAAACCCCATCCCCCAGTATCCTTTCCCTGTCTTCATCTCTCAGATCATGAAGTCAATATTAACAGAGCCAAAATGACTTCATGATAGATTTTATTTAAATTTAAATTCAAACCAAAAGAATTACACACTAAAACAACTAATTCAGCCCATGATCAAAGACTTGGTTTAGAAAGAGACTATAAGAGAATCTTTCAGTTGAATCAAAGTTACAAGGAAACTTACGTCAGGATTATAGGATTAATTTCTTAAAGCTAAAGACCAGTTATGGTCATGCAATTGCATAGTGAAAGAAACGTTGTGAAATCGATCAGACAAGGTTGATCATCTAGCATAGATGTACAGCAAAGTTCTGGAATCATAAAAATTATAAGAAATTTGGCCAAATCTTCATAAAGTTAGAAGCACTGTACACAGAAAGATGTATATGGGACTACACACACGTGCGTGACACGTGCATTTGTATCTCTCAACAGTATATAGATATACTAATTTACCAAATATATCAATTAGTAGGCGGTTTCCCGTCAAAACTTTTATTGTCATGTAATATTCAAAACATATTTTTTCACATGATTGGTAATAAGAGCTTTCATTTCATTTTTTGAAATTGGGGCGTTTCCAATACTGGTCTTTACCTTTAAGCCCGGTTCACCCTCCCCGTTCCTCCCGCCCAACAACAAGACTCACGCTACAACATTTCCCTAGATGGAAGAATGATTAGTAAAATCATTTACCATGGCATCTACCGATCTTGTTGTAAATTTGTCGAAATCGATGGTAAGTTGACAAGCAGGTTGAGGGAGTTTAATAAGCCAGATCCTACTCAAGGAAGGAGGATGGTTCTGAGGGGAATTAGGTGAAGCTATGGTGTAAGAAACCCCGCTTAATAGTGATACACCAGAACCTGGATAAAATAATAAGACATACGTTAGCTTTGAAAAATGACTTTTATATAGGTCTTTTGTAAAAAAGAATGAAACCTTTGGCATCATGCATGTGCCATCATATTATTTATTAATTTGTTTTTATCTAAACAGCATTGCTCTCTCGGATTTATAAATGTTTTTGTTTTCTTCAAAGAGGTCATGTACAAATTGGATATAACCGATTTACATTATTACTACTTTCATTGCGTATATCTGTTGAATGTTTCCTTAAAGCTCCTCTGCACTACGGTTTGGCAGGGAGGGATTATACTGCCCTGCGAGTTCACTTGCAGTTGGTTATCTCATCAAATCAGTTTGCAATTAACAAAAGTAAAAGGGCATCATGGGGGATCAATGAGTACCGCTTAGGCATTGTTGGCTGTTGAGAGGGTGCAAGTAGCTATAAGTAGTCATGTGGGGCTTTAATGTAAAAGTTGAGTGTCTTCAGCAAATTTTGTATCCAGATTCTTAATAAGGTTTGATTTATTACAAGTCGCTGGTTCACACAACAATTCTTACTGCATAAGAAACATATTAGATCGATTTCTAGATAGGACAGAACTGAATATCCAAGGAAATAAAACTTGATTATCTGTATATTTACCTCTCGTGTCGATGTATGACGGTGTGTTTATATCTGAGAGAGATTAGGAAAGGGTTAAAGGGTTCAGTTGGTATTTGATGGCAAGACAAAAGATCTATCGGTCAAACGTACTTCAAAGTAAAATTGAATTTAAACAACGACGCCAAAAATTACTTTTAAGCAACTACGTATAATTTGTATCCTTACCATTAACGCAGTTGAACCAATGACGAACCATGGCGTTCGAGATTATGTTTAACCAATAGCGGACTGGGTTATGTTTAAACCAATAGCGTATCAGATCAAGTTTAACCAATGGCGTTTCAGAATAAAGTATCCACTATCATTGCATATTACGTTTGGCCTATCATGAATCAGATCAAACCACTGACGTAATAGTATCACATTAGGTTCCCTAAATAGCAACTCAAATTATTCAAAGGTTTTACCAAGAATGCATCATTGATGTATTACTAGGTATTATTTAGTTTTACCATGTGCCTATCAGAGTATATCAACATATTTAGCGAATGATAAACCTGATCAAATTTTACTTATAGTCTATTAGTTAAACTTAAGAATACTATATCAAATTTAAGCAAGTAGTTAACAAATTGCGCGATCTATCAGAATAACTTTAACCAATGGCGTATTAATTAAATGCAATTCATTTTCAATTCAATTCATCTCCACTCATCATGCTCAAAGAAAGCAAAATAAAAGTACATGCACAAATAATAAATACACATATCATTGAAGACGAAAACCACAGAGCGTTAAAGTAGAGTTCAGAAACAAGTTAAGGATTTTAAAAACCTGTCCTATTTTGGGTGATTGAGAGAGAAGAGAGAGACAGATAAAGGTGAGGGAGTAGAAAAATAATGTAAGATGTAGAGGAAAGGGAAAAAACACTATGGTTTTAAATTCCCAAAGACAGTATAACATATACCTTGATCACACGTAGGCCTTATAATAGCACTGAATCCATGCGATGTAGGATTCTTGTGGTCATTTGATCTGAACCACATCCACACAACGTTTGAATCTATTTCAAACCACCTCGGGATATTCGCCTGAGTTCCAGTCAAGCTCCAAATCTATAATGGACCAATAACACGATAGCAATTACTGTACCTTAGGCAATATCAATAGAGAAAAACAAGAACAAATGTTGAAAAGTAAAGATGAGGAAACAAAATTGACAGAAGAACATTGTACTTAGTTTTTCGTTTAATTTTTTAGTTTAGTTTTTTCGGATAATTTCACAGAAAACAGTGACACAAACATTAAACTACAGTGCATCATCAATATGAGTATTGTGGTTATTTTTTAAATAACTTTTCTTCCCCTCCTGTACCTGACTACCTTTTTGTCAATAACTTGATGTTTTAACGAACTGTGTGGGGTCAAGTAAAAAAACAAAAAAACAAAACAAACAAAAAAACCAACCCCACACCATTACCCCCCTCCCCCCGAGATGCTTAATACTTCAGAGGGGTGTAAAGTACGCTTTCCAGTGATACTGTGCAATGGTACGGCACTGTACCCCAAAAATGATATAACTACACTGTCATTGTGTGATTGCAGTCATGTTTCTTTTTTAGTTGAACATTATTTGTATCCCTACTGATTGTTATACATTCTTCACTATCTACCTGGAAATTTAAAAAAAAAAAAAAATCTTTACATGATTTGTAGATGTATCGTTTCCTGATCCGATCTCTAGAATCTCTCCGGGCACCTTCGCATTGAGGGCAATAAACTCAATCCGGACAGTACAGTTCTGCGGCGTTTTGACGATCCAGGTATAGAAACCTTCAACGTCACCAAAATATGCCGACCTATATGCGAATATGTATTGAGGTGTCTTGACGATCAACGACTTGCCACGTCCCAGTTCTACCACGCGTTCTGTAACAACAAACAAATTACGTCTTCCTTAATTGGACCCCCTAAGGACCGATATCAACTTTCCATTCACCAAAAAGCGGGTTGTCGCTATTGGACCAGTCCTGCCGACAGGGGGCTCATATGCAGCATATGTCAACATTCAAATCTTATTTTTTTTATAGGCAATTTTCATGCTAGATCATTCCGTTAAAGCCTCTTTAATGTGTTGGGAGCCCCAAATTCCTGAAAATTTGAAAGCAAAATTTCACTTCAATTGTATCATAATGTGAAAGAGAATGTTGTTAAAGATACACTTCTGCAAAGATTCCACCCCCCCCCCCCTACAAAAAAAATAAAAAATAAAATAAAAATGTGATTGAAAACAAAAGTTGATATCAAAAGGAAAACATAATTTTGGTTTTCTGTTGTACACAGAAAAAATGAAATGTTTTATTCTTTCATCAATATTCGACTTCAAACACATTTATTTTTAAACTCCAAGCAGAACTGTGTTTAAAATGACATCCTTTATCACATTATGATAGAATTTAATGGTAATGCAAAGTTTTGGGAAATTTTGAAAATTGAATGGATAGTAATTCTTTACATTTTTGATATATTTGGATGCCCCTGTGGATGTATTATAAGCGCTAAATTAAAAAAAAAAAATAAATTAGCCCCTAAAACACTTCTGTTTTCGAGAAATCAAATAATCAAAAGTTTACCGGTGCCCCCGGTAAATTTCGAATATTTTAAATAGCGCCAAAGGCCATTCGATGGTAGCTGCGACCATGAAAATCTCAGAATATACAGTTCTGATATATAATTTCTAAACGGAAATAACAAATAGGCAAGAAACAATGTTTTAAAGCTAAAGTAATGTCTAGAGAGGGAGCTATACAACATAAAGAGTTTATTATTTAAAATTTCATCACTTTAGACTCGATTTCAACCGCGGCAACGATCATTGAATATTGTGGCGGAATAGGGGGGGGGGGGTTAATAGATAATACAATAGAGGAAGGAAGAAGGAATATGGGAGGAAGAAAGGGGGGGGGGGGGGGGGGGTAAAGAGGAAGAGGGGTGGTGGTGTTGTAATTCCCCAGTGAGAGAGAAAAGTCAGTGAGAGAGAAAAATGAAGTCAACATTCACAACACACTAAGCTGCCACCATCTAGTCTTTATTAAGAGCGCTAGATTCTCTTCTCTTTACAACTTGATGTTGTAAAGAGATAAATACCTGACCTGTTGGATCACACAATAAACGATAATTAAATGACTTAATTATTCACAAATCACAGCCTTCTCATTGGCTCATTTCGCACCTCTTTAATTCAACACAACGCACTAATGGTCAACCTTAGACCTGAACCCTGGGCTCTCGTAAACATTCGCGCTAGATTCAACTCGTGCCACGAGCAGCCTGGCTCATCTCTACACTGTTCCACACTTCAAGTTACTTGTATTTCTTCATTTAGGTGAGTTAAAGCATCATCATGAGATCTGAATAATTCTGTCAGTACTCTGTAAGCATGATTTAATCCTAATATTCGTATCAGACTTGTACAACTCAGATTCTCTAACGATCTGCACAACACACTGCAAACATGTGACAGGGCACACTGGGTGTCCTGTACACGCAGTTAAAACACACACATTATTCGCACTCGTATCTTGGGGCACTTTCTCTCAAATCCCCTATCACATTCCTCCCGTAGGGTAGCGAGCAATCTAAAGGCACAATGACGTGGATAAGTATCTGAATAAAATCAGACGATGATTTCGTTCTCGAAGTTCTCAATTGCGCTATCTAAAGTAGATGTAAAAAATACCAATCACCATCCACACTTAACTACTGTAACTAATGTGTAACAGACATGTATTACTGTAAGAACGAATCTGTCACCCTAAATTGCTCAAGTGAACAAATAACAAGTTACAATTTATTAATAGATTTCAACTAACAGTGAGGCTTTCGTGCCTAATTCATGTCGACGTTATTCAATTCAAGTATGTATGCAATGCAATTACTAAGTATAAGAGTTTAAATGTACATTATATACAGATATGTTGTCACTTTTGTCCGACAACAAATAATTTACCTAAATAATTACTAGCTTAAAGTATGGATAGTGTATGCGTGTTATGTTAACAGTTATAGGGACAGGTTTAAGATGTAACAATAATAGATCACTAGCAACTGAATTCTACTCCAAAGTGTACATTATCTTTCCTACTAAAACATGAGAAGTAATTCTATTCTGGGCTAAACACAACATAGCCACTTCATCTTACGGTCAATCTAGGCTGACCAGCAGCCATCCAATAATCACTCCATTCCAAGTTAAAGTACAAATACTTAACTGCCTTCCTTCTTATTGCCTATAGCATAATCAACTTATAGTATTAGTAATCACCGCTCAACGGGAGTTCTACTCACTGGTCTATCCACCCCTAATCTCGACATGGCAGCTCACTCTGTCGGCATAACCATGCGATCTTTAATCCTAGGGTCTTTACAACAGGTTATAGCCTCGAATGTCCAATTCCTATACCTATTGCTAACTTCCAGAATTAACTAATCAGTTTTAAACGTACTTCAATCTTAAGACATCCGGTTTGTCTAGGGATTCGTTCCTTGCTCTCTGTAATTCAGTGCTTAATAATGGATCATTATCAATGTGTTACTAAGATAAAATATACATGTAAGTTACAGCTCCATAAATACATAAGTTACTTATATTAATTTGTACATCATTAATTGTTGAATTGTGAATCTATTTACAAGTGACTAAATCTTATGCAAGTAATAGCGTCAGATCGTATTTACTTTATTCATAAATATGACGAATATATTTAAGGTACAACTATATAGAATACAAATATTAAATATTCAAATGTTCAATATATAAAAGTTACAACTGCTATACATGTAGATAGATATATTCTTAAACTACTAGGTACAGGTGACAGACTACGTTACTGAGGCTCTCAGCCTCCTCCTCCAGAAATCCATATTACTGGTAATGTATTAGGTCAAACAGCAGATATGGTATATAGTCTAGAGTAAAAATCGATAATAAAAGAGAAAATGTTCCAATGACCAATTAAATAATCAGTCCTCCATTGAATAATTAGCAGTAGCACTAATATTCAATATCTCACAAATAGATACAAGTTTGTACATGTATAAACATTCTTAGAACTACTTGTCACAGAAACCAGATTGGAAGTGGTTAGACCTTTAGGTATACCCGCAAAGGATCAGTTAGTCAAACTATCCAGCGACCTGAAGTACACCTAATTTCAGCGTAGCTAATGATTTATTAGCTACAAAGAGTAAAATCTCTCAACCAAAAGTAATAAATAAAGGGAATATGTTCACCACTTCCAATACTCATTTCTTAACAGTGACTGCGATATCTGAACTGACATCTCTGTAATGCAATATAATTGTAAAGACATTTTATCAAGTGTTGCATTATTCAATAAAAAATTACTGGCACGGTAATATAAAATCCAAGAATTCATGTCCATTTTGTGTATTCTGTTTCAGTTCCAAGCATACATATTGATAACTATTATCTGATAAATGAATATAAATATAACAAGCATCCATATACACAGCAGTCATACTAATCATATGCACTATACCAATTTTGCTAGTTTTGGGCCATCCCATTTTGGCTAGTTTTGGGCCATCCCATTTTGGCTAGATTTTGGCCAATCTGCTTCTGGCCTGTATTCGGCCTTAAAAACCATAAAAGTACACATTTAACTCTAAAATAAACATTCAAACATCAATTCTGGTACAAAGTCCAATAGATTGATCAACATTTGTTGTTGGTGCAATGCAAATCAGCTAATCTGCATATGAATGGCAATGGGCGGAAACGGAAGGAATAATTACCGTAAATATCGGTTCAACAAGGTTCACAGACAGATCAGGTTCACAGCTCATCTAATGCCAAAGTGTACAGCCACATCAATCAAACTCGGCTGTCACGTATATCAGCGCACTATCATGCGCGTATGCTTTAACCACGCGAATATTACATGTACGCACATGAATATTCATAAATCTTGGCAATAACTATTTCAAAGTAAGTGCGATTACATCAAATAATTTGTAACCTTTTAGAGAAATATATTGATAAAAATAAAGTAAGAGCCTTATTCAGAGAGTACAGACATTCAGAATAATGGTAAGTCAGCCTGACAGTATAACTCAGCAATTTAACAAGTGAAATAGACAAAAATATATGAAACGATCGAAAAATCAGTCACACATATATATTTTGGTGTTTCAAGTCAGTTTTATAAAAATGAACAAGTTAGATTTTACGCCGAGCGTCACATTACCTCCCTTCTTCTAAAATCGCTGTCCCCAGCCACTAACAAAAAAAAAAAAAAAAAAAAAAAAAAAAAAAAATACAACCACTCATTTCTTATCATACATGTACCATACTTTGACATGGTAGTGTATATACAGTACATACAGGTCTATGTGTATTTTTTTTCTTCTGTTAAATACAGCATAAATGTAGGCCTAAACAGTAGCAGTAGTAGCAGTAGTAGTAGTAAAAGTAATAGTAGTAGTAGTAGAAGTATAGTATAAGTAGTTATAGTATTAGTACCAGTAGTAGTGGTAGTTTTTGTAGTAGTAGTAATAATAAAATGAATTGTAGTCGTAGTTGTCGTAGTACTAATAATAGCAGTAAAGTAGTAGCAGCAGCAATAGTGGTAGTATTTGTATTAGTATTAGTAGTAGTAGTAGTAGTAGTAGAAGTAGTAGTTGTAGTAGTAGGAGGAGTAGGATGATGAGGAGCACAAGGAGTAGTAGTAGTTGTAGTAGTAGAAGTAGTAGTAGTAGTAGTAGTAAGGCTTGTTCTGAGGAACATATAATACTCTTTACCTGCTCGACCTCTAAAGTTTGAAAAGCTTTGAATAAACCGAAGCAGTATCAAATGAAATGAAAGATCTTACCTGTTTGACTTCCGGCAATCGCAGCCTTGGTTCCAGACGTTAGTCCTAATTGAAATAGAACAACATATTATTTTCCTTTATCAAAATGACTAATGAGATGGCTCATTTGCGCAATGGCTCAGTGATAGAACAGTGGTTAGGATTTAAAATCGTCTGCCCTCCGGTTGCTTAATTACAAACATAGACAATCATGCTTTCTTAGCAGTCAGGTAAAACAAACCAATTTAATCATTCTCTCTGCTGGTACGGGAAGCGATTCCTGACATACTGCTAAAGTGCTGAATGTATATATATATATATATATATATATATATACACTCCTTTGCATTGAGAGAGTCGGCCTCGTAAGATTTAATAATGCTTACAGAAAATAAAAATAAACATTTCACATTTCGAAATAGATATTTCCGATCTGTTTCTCCCTAAAGAATAGAGATAAATGTATCATTAAAAGAGGATCTAGTTCTAGTTTCAGTTTAGTTTAGTTTTTCACATTTCTCACGGGTATATTTAACATTTTGCAGTGATTCTACAAAGTAAATGGTCAAAGTAAACGTGGATTTTATTAACAGAGACACAAACAAGACAATGAGTTCTTCATATCAATTTGTTTGAAGGCATTAACTTGAAAAACTAAACTAAAAAGAAGAGTGGGGTATGGAGGGGCCTATAGTGTTCCCCTTGTTTACAAAAGGAGATGTAAATTCAAGGACTAATACACCAGTTTACGGTTGTATCAGTGCGCATGCGCAGACGGTTGACCTCGAGTCAATGGCTTTGAAACAAAGCCAATGACCCGAGGTCAGTGGTATTTATGCGTAAATTAAGATTGCGCCCATGCAAATGATGATGTGCGCGCAAAACACAGCGCGTAGGCAGTGATGTCATCCTAATTTGCATGGGCGCAATCTTAACTTACGCATAAATACATGACCTCTAGGTCATTGGCTTTGTTTAAAATGGCGCACACAACCGTAAACTGGTGTATTTCCGTCCAATATCTATACTGCCAGCTATCAGTAAACTGATAAAAAGAATTGTTCACAAGCAGCCTTGTGACTTTTTAATTCTTGATGATGTATTAAGTACAGTTTGAGTTCAGACCCGGTCACTCGACAGCCTCAACACTTAGTACATTAACTGATGAGTCATGGCTGCATGCCATCGACGCTCGATTAATAGTCGGTGCTCTCTTTACAGACCTAAAGCGAGCGTTTGATACAGTAGACACGTCAATAATGTTATGTAAACTACAGGATATAGATTTGTCCAATAATGCATCGTCTTGGTTCAAATCATACCTATCAAATAGGAAACAACATATTGTATAGGCAATCACGTTCGAATTCACTTTCTATTAAACCAAGGTGTGCCTCAAGGGTCAATATTAGGGCCCCTGTTATTGTTACCGATCCAGAACAATTGGGTTACTGGACCGCAGGGGCGGCGATCCGGGGGGTGGGGGACACGTCCCCCCTCAATTTTTTTTAGGGGGGGGGGATCGTCCCACCTCAAAATTTGAAAAAGTGCCAAAAAGAATGTATAGCAAATACTGATTCAAGACTGCAACACACTTTTAGGCTCTGGGCCCAAGAGTGCAGCATTTAGACAAATGATAACGCAAAAATCTTCTAAATACCGAGAAAATTGAAGTGTGAAAAAAGTATATTGCTTGTTGTTTAATATACTATAGTTTTGCTAAGAAATGTGTTTTTTTAATACAACAAAACTTGTGAGGGGGTAGTCACTTCCGTCACCTTCACCCCTCTCATTCACTATGCTCCCTCACCTAAGGCGGCCCCTGGATGCTCGTCTAATCGTAATTTAATTCATAAAACCCCTAAGCTTCTTCTTCCTGCCAGTGTCACATATAAGGTATGAAAATATGCTCTTCTGACCGTAATTAAATGCCTAAAACCGCTGACCTTCATGAGGCTCCGCCCCTTGACACCGCCGGGGCTTTGCCCCTGGACCCCACGCCAATTTACGCTCCAATTTGCTTTGCTTTGCTCTTCCTGATCGTTAATACTTAACCCCCCCCCCCCACTTTGAAAAACGTTCCCAGGGCCTGCGTAACATTAAAGAGTGATGGTGATGCGGATTTTTTCTGCCCCCCCAGCAATGTTTTTGCTCATTACGCCACTGCTCCCTCGTCCCTCGCATTTCTCCCCCCCCCCCCCCGGTCATGAAAATAATTCGCCGCCCCTGCTGGACCAGATCTATTGTTCTGGCTTGTTGGGTTTTGGGTGTGGTCGGTGGGTGCTAATGTGTGCTTTCACGCGCATTTTGTATTTTTTGAAGTTGTACAAAAAAGAATGAAATTACAAAATTGTTGTGTTAGTTTGTTCAACTTATTACACATTTAACAATTTATAAGAAATCATTGAAAGGGACAGCAAAAATTTGCTGAGATACCATTTTCTGATGTAGGAATTCTAAATCGTGATATTTCATGCGCTTTTTAAAATCTCATCACCTGGTCAACAGTTGCGAAGTAGCGCATAACTTTCCGGTGGCTTGGAGCATGGGGTCGAAGGAAAGCGATCACTTTCATTGAGCAAGTTGCTCCCCTGTTTAGGCAAATTCTACAAGAGATTTAGGCCTACCTGTGCGGGCACCTTTCTTGTTGTATATAATTATAGCGTACTTTCCAATTTGTCTAATGACTGGAGTAGTCTAAAATGCTTGATATCTTCACTGGCTTGTACACACCCCCTCTCTCCCCCCCCCCTCTCTCTCTCTCTCTCTTGTTCAATCTCTCTCCCTCCCTCTCCTTCTCCCTGGCACTCTTTCTCATAGTTGATATAGAAGTCTTACCTGCCACCATGATGATTATTGCCCATAGCATGATGATAGAGATCCCCCGCACCAGACGGTTCAGTCTGTCCATGGTCAATGAGTTCCTCAATCACAATAACATACAAACCTCGTCCAGATAAGACTCCTAAACTATTAGCCTCAGCTTCGAGCTCCGTTACTTATCGCTCTCATGAATGTGCTATTATGCAAGCTTATATTATAACCATTACAAATTTCGCCAACATTATTGTGAGGGCAGATAAAGAGATTCTCTCTTGGCACTGAAATTAATTATTATAATCCAGTAATCCGAAAGTTATGTTTAGTTAAACTAGATTTGTTAACCTTCTTAGTGATGGTGGCGAGTTAGGGGGAGGGGGGGGGGGTGTATACGTCATAATGTATTATTCCTTGTCGAGTCATGATTGGTCAATTCTTCGTAAAAGACAAAATACATTGTATATGTGCACTGTGAGGGAGAGTGGCCCAGTTTCCGGAGATCGGGGCTGACGTATTCTCTTTCCCATATACGTTGCATAAAAAAAAAAAAACATTTAAAAAAAAGATTGGAAGTCAGCCAGGTTTAACTAAATACAATGAGGAAGGCTATTATTTTCAACGTTTGCCCATTTTTGTTACCGTTTTATTTTTGTCACATCTTTAAATATCAAAACAACGGGGTTCATAATTATGAACGGTATAAGCGTTATGAACTCAACGAAGAAAACAAAAATTGAAAAACAAGACGAATCAATTAGTAAAGATTTAATGATAGAAACCTCGAAATAAATGTCTCTTATGTAACCTCAATTCCGGGAGACATAACACCCGGAGGATTCAGTTCAGTGTGTGAACGGATAGCCGGCTCATGAGCACCTTGACACTCTGCTCTAATTACATTTTGCAATAACCGATTGGATTCCACCATGTCCAGGGGTATTTTGAATACTGGTCAATATGCAGTGTAATGTGAAGAATATAATAAAAGACTATAAAGGTCTAACATGACAAAATAACTGACCATCTAAAACTTCCTAAACTACACAGTGATGCTAATAGAATAACAGATTACCTCAATGGACAAACTATTATAGTTATGAATAAACTCGAAGACAATTCCCTCTTCCTGATAGTCATCAGATGAACAGAACAGGGGGGGGGGGGCTACAACTAACGATATCCACACTCGTTTCGTGGCAGAGTCAGCGGGGCGTCTTTCAAAGTGGGGACACACCGGTACTAACAAGCATTTATTGCTTTCTTAGCTGTCAGGTGAAATAACCACCACTATCATAAAACAGGGCACTTTCTGGGGGAAAAAGGGCGAACCTAGAACGGGTCAACGCAAAGCGTAACATTACAATGTTTAGACATTGTATATACCCCTACAATGTAATGAATACATTATCAGGGGATGATTATCGTTTCAGCACCAACCCTTGCTGATGCGTTCACTGGACCGACTGGCTCCAGGAGACTGACATTGTCTTACTTGTATCTCTCCCTATGAATTTCTGTGATTTTACTCTTCTTTTTATCCGCTTAGTTTATGTATTTCCCTGTTTCACCCTTCTGTTATTTCTTTATTTCTTGTATTTGCTTGTTTGGTCCTCTTCTCAGATTCGTGATGTTCACCATTTAAAAAGAAATATCACTTTACTCCTAGTTCTTCTTATGTATGACTTTATTTCAGTTCTTATGGTTTGTTTGTCTCGTAGACCTTATAAATATGCTAGTATCAAAGGCTGTTGGTTCACTGAGATACCCCACCACCGATACATCACACAATGAATTATGGCTATATATATACGTTTCACGCATATCGATTTGTTATATTTTTTTATCAAGCCTTTGTCATGAGGAGGCGCTACATATACTGAACTGAAAGACAAGGAATGGAATTGGTTTACTAAAATATTAAAATTGTGTGCATACCTTTTATACAAAGGTTGTTCTTGACAACCTGGAAACTTGCCCAAGACTTGCTTGACATAACAACAAGTAACGTATGCAAACTGAATTCTAAGTATGATATTTTATTCATTAATAACAGGTCAATGGAGTAACTCGTCAATATAGGTACCCAAGAAATGAATCTCCATAAATTTGAAATGTTAGAAAACCGGTATATTGATTTGGAGACTTTGCTAACTAGGTTTAAGATGGGCAATTTATGTTGAATGCTTTGTTTGGCAAGCACAAATAGAAGAATAAACGTCATGATGTGACAGACTAAAACCAAGTTGGCCATAGATCCTCACGGGACAATGAAATGTTCTTTTATTTGGCAAAGATGAGGCTCGTATGATTCAAAACAGGGAAACTTCCATTTGATATTCCTGTTCCAAAATATTGTTGTTAAACACTGTTCTATATGATAAAAATAGTATTACAATTAACGTGTAAAACCTTTCAAAGGATTATATTCACTCCCTTCTACTCTACCTCACTCTTTCTCTCCCTCCCCATCTCTCTCTCTCTCTCTCCCTCTCTCTCTCTTTCGCTCTCCCCCTCTCTCTCTCTCTTTCCTGTCTCTCTCTCTCTATCGATCTGGCTCCTGATCATTTCTCAAAGTTCTTTCTTTCTCAAATTTCGCACTAGATGGAACTGTTAGAGCCATTATATAGGCCTACCTGAAAACTGTCGTGTATCTGTTCATATATTTTATTTTGCGTTCAATAAGTCCTTTCTTTTTATACCTATAATGACTTGCAAAACATTAAGACAATGATATCATTTTGTTTTCTTCAGTATAAAGCCTTTATTATGGTCTCGTATTATTTTTTATAAACATCTTATTATCAGTAGTCTAAAGTATATTGAGAGAAAAGTGACGCCCCTCACAAAGCGAATGTCTTCATGTGAGGCTGACATAAAGCACCTCCAAGACGTCAACAATAAGCTGGAGAGACACTCTCGGAAGTGCAATCTGATCCTCTGTAATTATGGCCCAGAGAAAAAAGACGAAATCCCCTCAGGAATAGTGAATAGTGTTTTGAAGGACCACCTCGACATCGACACGAAAGTGGAGATAGCCCACAGACTTGGAAAGAAGAAGGATGGTTCAACAAGACCCATCATCTTCAAGGTCGGCTCTGTGGAAGACAGGGATAGGATCATTCGAGCCAAACGCAAGCTGCAAGCAGCAAAGGTACCTTTCTACATTAAGCAGGATGAGACACTTGCAGACCGTAAGGTAAAACAGCAACTGAAAAACGTCGCATCTGAAGCATACAACTCAGGCAAGAAAACTCTGTTCAGAAATGGCAAACTCTTCATCGATGGAGTGGAGTTCAAACCCCCTAATGATCCCATCGCGGACGCATCAGCTAGTAGTAGTAAGGAGAATTTGTAGGATAACGATGGCTATTCCCAGCTTGGTGTCGCCTGTTGGAATGTTGGTGGTTGGTCGGATACATGTTCAATAAGGAAAAGCATCCTTGTGAAATGTGATTTTGATATTATTTGCCTAGTGGAAACTCACCTTACTAAAAGTCAATCAATTTCAGTTCCCAATTATGTGTGGTTGGGTCATGACCGACTACATCTGCATAAAAATGCTAGGAAAGGATCCGGTGGGGTTGGATTTCTGGTCCACCGTCGCATTCTTCGCTCATTTTCACTAAAGTGTGTGGAAAAATCATATGATGGAATTATGTGGCTTCAACTGAGAGATAAGCGGCAAAACGATTCATTTTATATTTGCATATGTTACCTACCCCCAGAGAACTCGAGCAGAGGTGGACATGCAGAAGAGTTTTTTGATAAGTTGTTTTCAGGATTGTACAAGTATAAAGATCTGGGTAAAATCCAGATATGTGGTGACTTTAATGCCAGAACCGGAGGTTTACAAGACTTTATTGAAGGCATAGACCCAATGAGACAGAGAAAGACTATAGACTTTGAAGTAAATTCTCAAGGTAGACTGTTTGCAGATTTTTGTGTAACCTCAAATTTTTGCTGTCTGAATGGTCGATATACAAATGATAATTTTACCTGTGTGTCCTACAAAGGAAAATCAGTTGTGGACTATTGCATTGTACCTTACCATGACATAAATTTGTATTTCAATTTTGATGTTTTGTTAGTTGCTGATCTACTAGACAAACACTCAATCCCAGTGGTGGGTTCAGTGCCAGATCACTCAATACTATGTTGGCATTTTTACAGAAAAACAGTGTGTAAAAATAGTGATAACCAGATGCACTCTAAACCCAGTTTTCAAAATTTATCCAAGCGATACCAACTGAATGATATTAATGATTCCTTTATGTCCGATGAAGAAAGTAAAAATGCAGTAAGTGAGCTTATAAGTAAACTTAACTGTGGTCTATCATCGCAGGAACATTTGGACGATGTGTATTATGGCTTTGAAAAAGTAATCCAAAAATGTGTTCATAAATGTTGTAGGGAAAGGAAAACTAGTAGACCCCAAAAAGGTCTTCCCCATTCACCTAAGGTCTGGTGGAATGATAATCTGCAATCGTTATGGAATTGTGTTAAATGTAAACAAAAGGAATGGTTGAAGTGCAAGAATACTGAGGGTAAAAAAGTGATGTTTATTGATTACAAAAATGCACATAAGATTTTTGATAAAGCGGTCAGAAAAGCTAAGAGAGCTTACCAGTATAAAAAAATCAATGCTCTTGATGCAATGGTAAATAAAGACTCTTGTTCATTTTGGAAAGAGATTGGTCGAATAGGGTCAGATGAAGAAAAGAAGTACCAAAATATACCAATGGAAATAATAAATGATGATGGAGAAATAAGTGAAGACTATGATAATGTTATGAGTAAATGGGAAAATGATTTCCATTCTCTGTTTAAAGATAATGGCAGTGGTTTCGATGATGGGTTCTTATCACATGTTAACACACAGTTGAAAATCCTAGAGTGTAATGTTCAAGAATCTGATACTAGAGGAAATGATTTAAACCTTTCTATTGAATTAACAGAGGTGACTGCAGCTGTAAAGAGGGCAAAATTAAACAAAGCTGCCGAAATAGATGGTATCGTTTCGGAGATGGTAAAAAACAATGCTTCAATACAATTCCTTCATGCCCTCCTCTCCTTTTGTTTTGAACGTGGTATTTCCCCTACAGCTTGGCAAAAAGGCATAATCCATCCAATTTTAAAACCTGGAATGGATGAACGTGAACCATTAAGCTATAGAGGTATAACTCTGAT